AAAAATCCTCACCACTGGATTTATAAATAACTTCATAATAAATGGAGAAAAGATTGAAGTTGTCAAAGACCACATTTTTCTTGGATGCACTATCAACACTATGGAAGCAGCAGTCAAAAAAATTAAGCGATGTATTACATTGGGCAAATCTGCATATGACCTCTTTAAAATGTTCAAGAGCAAAGTTTAAGAATTAAGGTGTTGCCTGACCCAGGCCATGGTATTTTCAATAGCCTCATATGCATTGACAGTTGGACAGTGAATAAATAAGAATGACTGTAGAACTGATGCATTTGAGTTATGGTGTTGGGAAAGAATATTAAAAGTATCATGGATTGCCTGAAGAACAAACAAATCTGTGTTGGAAGAAGTACAACAAACCAGAATGTTCCTTGGAAGCCAAGATGGCCAGACTTCATCTCTCATACATTGGATGTATTATCAGGAGGTACCAGTCCCTTGAGAAGGACATCATGCTTGGTAAAGTGGAGGGTCGGTGAAAAAGAGGGAGACACCCAATGAGGTGGATTGGCATAATTGCAGCAATAATAGGCTCAAGCATAGCAGCAATTGGGAGGATGGTGCAGCACCAGACAGTGTTTCATTCTGTTGTATATAGGGTCGCTGATGGGTTGGAACGGACTTGACAGCACCTAATAAGAACAACAACAGACAATCTTGAACCATAAATAGATAATAATGTGCACAGCACTTAACAACAATAAAATAGTATAGAAAATAATATCAGATTAAAAAGTAATCTTTATTCATCTTGATTATTTCATAATTTTAATTTAGTGATGAAAACAGTCTGTAACTTGAAACGATTATGGCACTATCATGATAAATAACACTATGTTTCTTCAGGTATAATTTTTGCTAAATACTATAGAAATCACTTGGAGTCCCAGTGTACCGCTGTAGGATAAACATTAGACTATGAGTTCGGTTTGAACAGCAAGGTTGGCAATTCAAACTCACCAGCTGCTCCTCGGAAACTTTATACTGGATCGCTGTGATTTGAACCAATTCAACAGCACTTAACATGGAAATCACTTACTATAGGTCTGGTCCTTTGTTTAGTTTTAAAGAGACTGAATTTGCCAAAAAAATATTGAACTTGAAAGCCAGGTCTCTCTGATGGTAATTGTTGTTGTTAAGTGCTGTCGAGTCGGTTCTTACCCATTATGACCCTGTATAGGTTTTCCAAGGAGTGGCTGTTGAGCTTGAACTACTGACTTTAGAATACAAACAGACTTTGTGGTCCTGCACATTAACCCACAGCGCCACACCAGGACTGTGATGGTAATAGAATGTTGAAATTAATCTGTAAATCTTCAAATTAATTTTTAAATACAATGTAGTTCCAGTCAGACTCTGTAGGACTTTATTGCTTTTTAAAAAAGAATGGACAAGCTGATCCTAAAATTCATCAGAAAAGAAACTACTGAAGAACAGGAAAGACATTTCTCAAAAAGAAATATCATGTGCTCTTGGTACAGGAGTAGTATACAAGAAACTGTTGTTAAGTGCTATCAAATTGGTTCCGTCTCACAGTGTCACTGTGTACACCACAACTAAGCACTACCCAGTATTAGGCCATTCTCACAATCAGTTTGAGCCCATTTTTGCAGCCATTGTTTCACTCTACAGCCACTGTTTAAATCTGTCTCCTTGAGGGTATTCTTTATCTCTGACCCTCTACTTTACCGAGCATCATGTCCTTCTCCAGGGACTGGTGCCTCTTAATAATATATCTGAAGAATGTAAAACAAAGTCTCACCATCCTAGCTTCTAAGAAGCTTCTGACTCTACTTCTTCCAATACTTGTTCATTCTTCTGGTTGTTATTGTTAAGTGCCATCGAGTCGGTTTTGAGTCATAACAACCCTATATAGGACTTCCAAGGCATGGCTGGTGAGTTTGACTGCTGACATTTGTTTCAAACAAGCTTGCAGTCCAGTGCTTACCCTACAGCTCCACATCAGAACTCCTAGTCCATGGTATACTCAATATTCTTTACCAGCATCATTATTCAATTCTTCAGTGGTCTTCCTTACTCATTGTCCAGCTTTCACATGTAGATGAAGTGATTGAAATGCCTCAGGTCAAGTACAAGGAACCCTGGTGATACAGTGGATTAAGTGTTGAATTGCTAACTGCAAGGTGAACAATTAAAAACCTTCAGCCACTCTGTGAGAGAAATATGAGGCTGTTCCCTTATCTTAGAAACCCTAAGGAGCAGTTCTACTCTGTCCTATAGGGTAGCTCTCTGAGTCAGAAATGACTCAATGGAAGTGGGCTTGATATTTGGTTTAGTTTTTTGGTTTGGGGTCAGATGTACCTTAGTCCTCAAAGTTACAGTTTTGCTTTTTAACATTTTAAACAAGTCTTTTGTAGCATATTTGCCCAGTGTAATACAGTGTTTGATTTCTGGACTGCTGCTTCCATGGACCTTGATTGTGAATCCAATTAAAATGAAACCCTTGAAAACATCAATATTTTTCCATTTATCATAATGTTGCTTATTGGTCCAGTTGCGAGAACTTTTACTTTTTTTATGTTGAGGTGTAACCCATATACTGATCTTCATCAGTATTTTCTTCACTAGATTTTCCAGATACTTTGGGAATTTTGTATTTTTAAAGCAGATATTTTAGGGCATGATTATTAAATAAATGGTGCTGGAAATTGGTTACTAATTGGGGGGAAAATATAGTAAAACCTCAATTCACAGAAATAAATTCCAGGTTGAAAAAAAATACATATAAGCATGTCTTGTCAAGGGTGTACCTATTTCATAATATTAAGTAATTTCCTATCATTTCTTCTAATACTTTAAAATGTTTAACCTTGGATAAATCAGTTGAGTTCTTGGAGGTTAGTTTGTTTTATTGCTAATCTTTTGTAATATCAATTTTGATGTATTCAGTGTAGATGCTTTTTCATTCGATTCTTGTTTTTTTTTTTTTTCCTTTTTCCATAAATTTTTCCCTCCTGAGAGAAAATATAATTCCATTTTTATATTAGATTTAAAGCTTTACATTTTACATGTAAATTTTAACCCATAGGTAATTTGTTTTATGTTGGTTTAAAATAAGGGTATTGTTTTATTTTGACATATGCATAATTCATTTGTAAATCAAGTTATTAAATATTAATTCATTTATTGAATAAAAATTCACTGATTTATAAGGCAACCTCAATCATATATCAAGCTTCCAAATATGGGTGATTTTCTTCTGAGGTTTCTCTTCTGTTGCATGATGTTCCTTTTAGTTGCCATGGTAACCACAAGGTCGGCAGTTCAAACCCACCAGATGCTCTGGGAAACCCTATGCAGGGTTGCTGTGAGTTAGAACCAACTTGGCAGCATTCAACAACAACAACAACATGAGTACAGCTCATGGCAACCTTATGTATAATAGAATGAAACATTGCTCAGACCTGGACCATTCTTACAGTCTTTGGTATGTTTGAGCCTGTTGTTGCAGTCACTGTGCTAATCCAATTTATGGAGGGTTCCCCTTATTTTTGCTGAGCCTGTACTTTATCATACATGATGGTCTTTTCTGATGACATGTCCAAAACAAATAAGATGAAGTCTCACTACACTTGATTCTATGGAGGATTTTGACTGTTTCTTCCAAGATAGATTTGTTTATGTTTCTGACTGTTTGTTGCTGCTGCATGTCATCAAATTGGTTCTGACTCACAGTCCTGAGGAGCAGCTGGTGGATTCCAACTGCAGTCCAATGTGTAACCCACTACGCTACCAGGGCTCCTTATTTTTCTGACAGTTCATGTATATTTAATAATCTTCACCAGCACCATAACTCAAATGAGTCAATTTCCCTTTGATCTTCCTTTTTTATTGTCTAGCTTTTACACACATTGAAAAGACCTTGACCTGGGTCAAGGCACTTAAGTAATCAAAGTGGCAGTTTTACTTTTTAAACTTTTTAAAGAAGTCTTTTGCAACAATGCAGTAAATCCTTTTATTTTTTTTTTTTTTTTGTTTTGTTTTTGTTTTTTTTACTGCTGTTTATTGTGGAATCAAGTAAATGAAATACTTAAACAACTTCTATTTCATCTCCATTTTTCATGATGTTAATTAGTCCATTTGTGAAGATTATTGTTTTCTTTATGTTCAGGTGTAATCCATATGAAGTCTGTAGTCTTTGATCTTCATCAGTAAATACTTCAAGTTGTTTTCACTTTAGATAAGAAAGGTTGTATAGTCTGCACATCACAGGTTGTTTATGAATCTTCCTCCATTCTTGATGTGTTCTTCACACAGTCCTGCTTCTCAGGTTATTTGCTTAGATTGAGTAAGTAAGATGGTGG